ACCACATCCTTGGAATGTTAACATTCAAGGAACATAATGTCTCTGTCTCCTCATCCCAAGCAAGAAAAAGCTCTAAGTTCAGCTGATGCCTACCTTTTGTTCCAAAGACATGTTTTGTTTTCCTTTGTGTAAAACTCAAATTATCAAGTGAATTCAGGATGAAGAATGTCTTATAAGTGGTACATTACTTCCTCTTAGTTGGGGATGAACTGAATTATTATTTTATCTTGAGAACATGTATATAATGGATTGTATCTCTCTGGTTTTATGAAAGGTGAGATTTCTTCTTGTATTTGCAATCTCAGTGGATTTCTATGATGCATATCACATTCTGGTCTATTGCTTATTCAGTAATAAAATGCTTTCTTTGTCTATTAGCTTTTAAAGAGGACTTCTAAATTTGCAGAAAAATTATTATGATGTATTTCTCCAAAACAGGCTTGAGGCATAGGACAGAAATAAATGACATAAAAAAATTTTGATGAGTCTATTTTTGTCAAATCTAGAGTTGGGAATATCCTTCTAGATACCTGGAAAAAGTGACTATTTCTTCAGGTTCTTGTGTTAGTTGGCTTTATTTTTATAAGAAATTTATCTGGCCTTCTAGTCAGTTGTATATTAAAGTATATGAACTTTCTTTTAATCATCAGGCAATAATCCAGATTCCAAGTTCTTCCCTAAGATTAAAACTTTGAACTCAGCAACATACGATTTACCAAAGCTTGGTTTTGAGAAATAATTTTATTTGGAAATTTCCTGAAAAGAAAAAAGTGAGTCTAGTCTTCTTGATAATTCCTTTTTTATGCTTGAATTAAACCAGAGAGTGAGAGTGACTTCCATGAACAAAATGAAAGTGAGGAATAACCTTGTTTTATAAGAAGCTTAGACATAAGCAGGGGTTCTGTAATTCAAAATAAAATAAATATGAAAAGTTTATATAGCACAAAGTAGCAAATAAGCCTATAGCCTGATTGCAATTCATGATTACCTTCCTAACAAAATTATAATCATGACCACCCTTAAATATTTATCAAAATCTGCAAAGAAAAAGAGTAAGAAAACAAGAGAACAATTTGCCCAGGATGTGTTTTATGAGTAGCTAGTTGTGCTAATAACAAGTAAATCTGAGAGGTCGGAATCAAATGCATCTGATCATGGTTTTTGGAAGTTAATTGACCTTCAAGTTGAAGAGAAGATAGGCCTGGGACTACAAGTAGCAGGTGACAGGAAGAGGTGTTTGTATCTAATTCTCTACTACAACTTTTACAACTCATCCTGTAGAACAGAAATGTGTCTTGGAGTGGTTGTAGATCAAAGACCTATGTCCCTGACAAATTCTTAGCACATTGTAAGTACAATCAGAAATCATTACTGTTAATTAAATTCAATATTCTTCTAAGTAACTGCAATCAGAAATCATTTATCTGGGAAAGGAATACGCTTTTCTTGAGTGGCATTAAATATTCATCTATTTGGAGATTACTGCATTGGTGTGAACAGGTAAGTATATGATAGAAACATTCTTTGAAAATTCCTGAGTCATCAGACATAAAGGTCAAATCAGTTACTTGGGAACACATCTGTTTACATAGGTTCTTCAGTGCCCAAGTGGGACTTTCATATGTGTTGTATAAAGTAAAACTAAAGCACTGCTTGGAACACCCTAAGCCCCCGGACAGCTTGCACCAAGTGCTGTGCCTCAGCCTGGGCCAGTTTCCAATCCTTGTGCAGAATCCCAAGGAAAATAGAAAGTATTAGATTTGAAAATAAAGTGAATTTCAACATATAACAGATTTCTCAAAATTAATACAACACAAGTTAAAGTACAAGTTATAAGTTTATGCCACTGGATAGGAATATATGACCCAAATATTTAGTAATTAAAAGCATTTGTTGAAACAATTTTTTAAATGATCCTCTTGCTCTCACTTTCTTTTTATTTTTTTCAAAATTAAATAGCTGATTTTACTGACTCTAGACTGCCAGTAAAAGAACTATAAATTGAGATGAGGCACACTTGAACCACCTGGGAAGACTTCATGCCTGCCAAGGCCTCTGCCCTCACCAGATTCCCCATCGCATTGCCTGGAGCAGAGCCTTCCCTCCAGGTGACTATGATGCTCAGCCAGAGTTGTAAATCCTGAACTAGGTGACAAGTACAACTGATCTTTCCATTTGGTTCCTTTCAATGGAACTTTAAAAATCACTGAGTTACAAAAGTGATGAGAGAGTCAAATCAGATAAACCTAAGATCTATTTGTATTTAATTAATTTGATTTGCTTTTAAAAGCTAATTATCCACAAATTGCATCACTGGATTCAAAAAATGAGAATCTGTAGTAAAGAAGGCAAACTGCTATCTTTAGGAAGCAAAAGAAAAACCAAGGAAAAATTCTGAGACCCAGCCAAGACCTCTTCCACAATTCTTCCTTTGTACCAGGTGTATAACTGGAATGGTCCACTCTACTACACCATACAGCATAAGACCAGAATCGCTCTTTTAGAAAAGAAATTTTTTTCTTGGGTGAAGTTTTGTAGGGCAAATAAATATAGGAAAAAGGTTTTGGGAAACATATGGGTCAATATTCCAGTTTGACCACATAGCATAATGAGTTGTACAAAGTTATAAATTGCTCCAAAATGTGCCAGTTTTACTAAGTAATAACACATAGCATGGCAGAAGCACAAAAAAGGCGTTTTGCTTCAATTTTTTCACAATATTAACAGTTCCTGTTTCTCATAACTGTTAAACTTTAGCATCTTTTATGACATTTGTTATATATTCCAAACTGATTCATTTTTTGGCAATCTTATCCACTAGCTTAATTTTAAGTTTTGTCTACAAAGTGGCAATAATTGATGTAAAAAAAATTCAAATACTACGTATACCTTATTCTCTCTGGCAACAGGCAGTCTTTTGAATCACCTAACATTCAGAAGTTCTCAATTCCACATTTATCATCTGAACTGAAGGCTTTTGTTATTTAAATAAGCAACTGATTTTCTTTTATTATGTAAAAACACTGCTATTGTGTAGACATAGGGTATGTGAACTTATCCAGAATTGTTGTGTTGAATTAAACACATTTGATTGTTATTTTTTATATCCATCTGAAATATCTAACACGTGTTCAATCATTTTCTTATTTTGGGACATATATTTGCCAAATTTTTCACTTTTGTACAATTTGCCACCAGTATACTGAAAGAGGTAACATTTGACAAAGAGTGAATATCTTTAATATATAAAGAGTTTAGTACTCAATAAAAAAATCACCATAAAGCAAGTTTACTACTCAGTAAAAATATTACCATTTTAGTAGATAAGTGCATACCATGATACAAAAACAAAATAGACCAAAAAAAGACAAAAAAAAAAAATACATCACTTTTAAAATGCAATTACAATGAAAAATAACTTCCTCTTTTTTTTCCATTTTGGTGCTGGGGATTGAACCCAGGGCCTTTGCACTAGCTATATCCCTAGCCCTTTTTTATTTTTTATTTTGAGACAGGCCCGCCCTAAGCTGCCCACACTGGGCTGAAACTTTGATACTCCTGCCTCAGCCTCCCAGGGTGTTGCGATTACAGGCATGTCACCATGCCAGGCATTACCTTTCTTTTAAATTGGCAAATACAGTATTTTACATATGATGACATTTGCACAGTCATTTAGAGAGACAAATTCCATGAACTCTTAGCTATGACAGATGATATGTCCTGCAGCACTGACACTCCAGGCAGTCAGACCTGTGAGTTTGTGTAAATCCTTCCTAGGTATTTGACTTCACACCATGGAATGATTTCCCTCACCCTCAGTAAAACTCCTCTGCATCTGCAAAACTGGAATAGTAAAAACACTCAATTTGAAATATTTTGTGAACATTGGTACCCAATACTATCTCTAACACATAGTTCTCACTAAACTGCCTGTTGTAATAACTCTCCATGGTGACGAGAACACACAGAGGCAGAGACCGTAACCCTTCAGGAGGAAGATTTGCTATAGTTTTTTCAGGGCCGTGGTCCATCTGTAAGTCTACCATATGTGCACTCAGAACTAATAATCCTAGTTTTAGGATTTTATCTTAGGAGAGAAATGGTCACGGATATTAATACACACATATTCATAATATACCTTCACATTTTAGACTGTCTTATATGATGGAAGCTTTAAAAGTTACAGATGTCAATTTATGGAAAGTGTGTAATCTGTCCTAAATTGTGAACAATATTCCTTGAAAAGGAAAATTTAAGCTTTTGAAATTTTATTATTTCCACTTCTCTTTGGTTTGTGCTTGTTTTGTCTAAATTTGGAGACATAGATGTTAAACATACTTCATGTGTGACCCTATCTAAAATGAATGTATGAGCTACCCACTCCCTTCCTAAAGACAAGTCCTTTAAATTTCACTTTTTTTCTTGAAGTTTCTATTTTATTGAAGGATGTAGAAGAAAAGAAATTGCTCAGTTATCCTTTCTCTTGATGAATATAAATTTAGATCATACAGATAATTGTTTTTCTTCTTATGATATAGCATTTGTAACAATGAAAGGAGAATTTTCAAAAAAACCCTATGGCTGGGCATGGTAGCGCATATCTGAAACCCTAGCTATTCAGGAGGCAGAAGCAGGAGTATAGTGTTGAGAACAGATTCGGCAAGTTAGCAAGACTCAGTCTCAAAATGAAATTTTAAAAAAGGACTAGGGATGTAACTCAGTATGAGGTCCTGAGTTCTGTCCCCAGTGCAGAAGGAAAGAAACAAAGAAAGAAAGAAGGGTGGGGTGGAAGAAGGAAAAGAGGGAGAAGGGCTGGGGATTTAGCCCAGTGGTTCTGTCATCTGCCTCCCAAGCACAAGGACCCGAGTTTGATCCCCAGTACCAAAAAAGAAAAGAGAGAAGAAGGCATAATTTTTTATCATTAAAAAATAAGATTGGATTATTTCTACCACTTCACATAGAGATGCAGAGCCAGATCTCCAATTGTGTCTGACATTTACCTCTTTGGAATCAAGAGTTTCATGTTCAGGAATAGCCACCATTGGATGACTCAGCTTCACAGAAAAGATGCCCAGGATTTGATCAG